TGCTGAGTCACCAGCCACGATATCAAAACCTACATTCCCAGATGGCTCTGGCAGAACTTCCTGCATCTGGCAAATCCAAGCTCCGGAGAACTTCCGACTGGCAATCACGATTGAAGCCCTGAATCTGAACGGTGCTGACGATTATTTGGCCATTCGTGATGGTGCGAGTAGATTCAGCCCTCTTATTGGCAAATATGGACCATGTGCAAAAGGCTCTCTTACGCTTGTGTCCAGTGGGAGATCAGCTTTTCTTCAATTAGAGTCAGCTGTGTACAAGAACACCGACGAAATAAAAATCTCATACAGTCCAACTGATCCTGGTAAGAAAACTCACCTATGCTTACATGCGAAATGGTTTGTGACAACCGGTTCTTTATTTAAAATCAGTTTTGTTATCCATTTTTTCATATTCTTATATATCTTAAAACGCTGGTAATAGTAATAATAATAATAATAATAATAATAATAATAATAATAATAATAACAGATAGACTCCCAAGCATAGCTTTTATGCTTTTATCACTTGCTCTGTCGGAACTATTTTCCACAACTTATTGATGAGACACGACTTTAGCTTCAATCCTCCAAAGATGTTTATGTGAAAAATTATATTTATCTTTCCTTGGAACGTTTTTTGCTTGATTGTTCTGTTATTTTTCTTGAATTAACGCCTCGACGAATTGAAATGAGGAACTTGTTATGATATGTCGCCTTAGTGGAATCGAAGGTTTTGGTTTTGGTTTTGTCAGGATAAAATTTTTTACATCTCCCCTTCATAAGGTCATGTTATATTCTTATCCTTCATTATTGGCATTTGAATGACAGTCAATTTTCTACAGTCCCCCTTTACACTCTGTTAGCGACGACTGATCTTTTCTCCGTCCCCCCTGAAAACCATGAATTTCCCCCAAAAAATCCTCTAACCGTACCCCCCTTCCACCTCTCCACATTTACCCACCCCTCTCCTCAAGAGAGAAGTCATGACTGGTTCCTTATTTGATCGTTACTGCCATTTACTCACCAAATGAAACCGACTGACAAACGCCAACAGCTTAAGTTGGATGTTTAGAACTTTTCGTTCTGTCTTACCCTAATATGTTACTTTATTTTAAAACTCTTTTGATTGGCTGTTGAGGGAAAACTGGTTTTGACCTTAATTAGCTTACATGATTGGATTAAAAGCTATCCTGAATCAGGGAAAGCAGATTCAACCTATTCATCACTATATTTAATTGTTCTTTAATTACAGACGACGTCAACTGCGAAAATGGTAAAGATCCACCAGGTAGGTCATACCCTTTTTCAAATCTTTATCTCTCGATTTCCATGTGTACTTAGATTCGTCATCTCACGGGCCTTACTTACTACACGGCCTGGAAATTGCTGTTTTTCTTGCAAAAACTTACTCTTTTCATTTATCAACTTTGTTTCACCGTTTTCACGGCCAATCTGCTTAATTCAGTGGATAAGTTAAATTCCAGACCTTTCAAATCATTTGTTGTCACGTGAGATGTTAACGAATGAACAACGATTTCGAAAAGAATTACTGACCAAAAGCCTTTCCGCGTGACCGAGAATCGTTTTCCGGAGTCGTCAAACACGCAGAAGATAGATAACAGATATCTTATCTTCCTGGTTCGGTGCAGAAAGTTATGGGCCGTCTAAAACTCTTTTCAAGTAATTGCCAACTCCCTTAGGGGTCCGTTCCTTGTTTGTAATACCAGAGAGTTGTAAGGAACTGTATGTGATGGTCCAGAAAGGGATCAAAAAATGGGCTCTTACTGACCAGAAGTGCTCGGCTAAGGGATGGTCGAACGAGCGAGTGCAATTGGTGATTCGCATGCTAAACTACCTTAATTTTGTTGTGTCAGGGTCTGTAACAATTCATGTCGTCTCTGTTGACTTTCAGACATATGTGGCATAAACACTGAGCTAAGAGGGCTCTCGGGTTTTATAACGAGTCCTAACTTTCCCAGCAATTATGACGCTAATGAAGTATGCTTATGGACAATTGTTGCTCCTCCTGGGTACCGAGTGCAGTTTTCTATTCATTTTCTTGGCATTGAAGATCACCGATATTCTCGCCCAGGAAGTTGTGGCGATGACAGCATTTCTGTCAGCGAGTATCGTGGGAACTCCACCAAAGACATCAGCACATTCTGTGGCTGTAAGAGCTTATTTTCATTTGTTTCCCAAGAGGAGAAAATGTTTTTGACATTCAGGAGTTATAAGAGGAACAACTGGCCGGGTTTTTATGCCAGCTACAAAGCTTTAGGTATGTAGTTTACAGAGAGATGTACCTGAACTAGCTCCTTTTTATCCACCCTTTTGTCAGCGTGTTTGGAACTCTTGTAAAGTTCCATAAATTGCAATTCATGACACAGAATGCGGAAAAAAAATGCATGTCAAACAAATTGTTGTGGTGGAAGGCTTAAAAAAAAGAAAAGAAACCTTCAATGGCGCTGCTCACTCCATTTTGGCGGGAAAAGGGTTGTCCTACAGGGTAGGAAGGCTATAAGTGATACTTTTGGCTATTCGACGGTTCTCCTGTAATCGGATTGGCTGCTTTATCATTCCACGGGAAAATTACTGTATCTCCTACTCAAGAGCACAAAAGCACCAGTAGGCAACCACGAATGAAATACGCTGTCTGCTATCTGGTATTTTAACTCTTTAAAAAATCAAATTAACTCTTTTCTTTGTTCTAACGCCTTCAGATAAGGTACAATATTCTCCATTTTCGCAAAGGAGACTCATTTTTTCTCTCCTTGTCAGGTACTGGTACTCTTTATTCCATTTGGAAAAGGTATTTCAAAGCCTCCTTTCGTTCCTCACGCAAGGACATTGCTCATGATAACGAATAACTCTCAATGAACTGCAGTCATTTCGCCAACGAATAGTTTTGCTTCTCTTTCTTTGGGGAAGAGACCTAAAACGTTAGTGAACTGGTTGTTAGCTAAACGACCACAATTTATCTCAGTCAATCATTTGAATATATTTTTTAAATTCCCTCCAGCTCCTGATGACTGTCCTCCAGGTGAACTGGAATGCCCCCGAAAGGACGTTGAGCAGATTGCTTTCAATGCTCAAGGTCAGGTGTGCACAATAACACCAAGTGAGTGTCTTCCTGCTAAAATTTGATATTTTCGTTACATTTCGAATTCGTTCTCTCGGTGAACATTCACGAAGCAATCTGGACCGTTCTACCATTTCAAATATGACTTTTCTTTCCATTATAATTTCATGTACCTTGAGGAAAAAAGCGAATGAGATACAAAGCCAGTCCCCCGGAAAACCTTTACTACTAGTCATTCAAACCATCCGGAAATTTTTCGCAACGTTAAACCTAATAATTTGGGTCAGAAATCAATATCGTTTCTTTACCAACTACATTTTTCTTTTTTCGGTCACTGGCCTCTTGATTATTTTAACTGTTTTTACAGGTGACTATTTATGTAGTTTAAAATGGCGCCATCAAAAAATGCATTTAAAATTTCTTTATCTCTCATTTCCTCTTCTCTCGAATCAACCTCTCCCAAGAAAACAAGAGCTCTCAAGTGGATGTAAAAAGGCCATCATCAGCCATAACGAGATCTTCATCAAGGTCATCTGGGCTACCTTCATCCAGAGCAACCTCGAAATATAGAACTTCTTCCAAAAAAACACAGGAGAATATCTACTCGTCCCCTCTTTCGCCCAGCTTTACTTTATCGACAAGTCAGCCGACTGTGCATATACTGGTAACATCCCCCTTTTTGCTGAGATCAATGAAAAGCGAACACATCACCATTTCTGACAGCCTTTCAAGTTACTCGATGCATACTTCCATTCAAGCTGCCGTGTCTCCCAATAGGTCAGAAACCGCGTTTGGAAAGACAGTTGATGGTGATGATATACGTCCCATTGGCCAATTAAAAAATTCAAGGCATCTTTCGTTGTCTGTCAGTGACGTTGAGACAAGTCCTTTTATAACGTCATCCCGTGGAACAGAGGTTGTTGCATCGTCAGGCTTATATCAGAGCAAATCTAAAACGCGTGAGACCCAGAGTGACCATATCACACCGAGTAAAACAAGTGACTCGGCAGCATTTCGCTCATCAGAAACCACTCTAAAACAGCCAAGTACCCGAGACCCACCCATTACAATAACGGAAAACCCTTTAAGAGGTAAGGGAACCATAAATTCTATAGTTATGAGAAAATTTGATACAACCTGTATTTATAATTGTGGCATTCTCTATCTCTGTGTATTACCTTAGTGGACATGACCTCCATGCAAACCATTCATTACTTGCAAACGAGCTTGACGGATGGAACCTGGATCGATTAGCTTTTGTCAGAGGTCTGGTCATTCCTTACATGAGAAAGATACTGTGTACTAAGTATGCTATGTAACAATGTTTCGACTGCATAGTACCAGTGATCGCCTCATCAAGACTCGCTTCTTACAATAGAAACGTCGAGATACATATTAGTAGAGACCATTTCGTAAGAAAACACAATTATACCTCATATCTAAGTTTATTTACCACGATGACTTACTGCAAGATCTTACTCGATAGGAGAAACACTCTTTCCCGAATGAAACTTGTTGGCTCGGTGACATTGAGGGAAAAACGGGAAAGTGGTAGTTGAGCATGTCAAAGGAGAAGTTGCTCATTACAACCAATTCAAGTTTTGCTACATCATAGAAATAAACATTGACATGACTGGGAACCAGACAACTTATAAGCCCAAATTCCTGGATTTTAACTTGCTCTAAAGATAGCTCTAAATCGTTTACATCGTTTCCTGCAACGAGCCTCGCTCCTTACGATATTATCTTACCACTGGCTTTTCTTAATTTTTTGAAAATCGTTTTAATCGCACAGGCTTGGCAGTAAAATGTTCTCAGATCGGCATGGAGGTGACCATATCAAGAATTCTGCTACCATATCTTGACATAAATTCGGTCCATTTAGACGATCCCTCATGCAAGGTATCTTTCGTTAATCACACACTTGCTGTGTTGAATGCTCCGCTGGAAGAATGTGGAACCCAGAATAGTGAATCATCAGACTACATAATCTATCAGAATACTATGACAGGAGATGAAAAGTCTTCTAATACAAACACTACTATTACAAGGGATGGAAAAGTTAAATTTGAGTTCCAATGTTCGTTTAGAAAGCTTCAAGTCCTGTCCATTGTTTCATACTCAACAAGTCGAAAGGTCATCCACGTTAAAGATGGTAAGTGTATATAATCCATAACTTTGTTTTAAACCCAAAACGTTTAAATTAAGAAACTGCATAGGGGTTTGGTTATAATTTATCGCCTGAGGGGCTAGGAAGATTCTTTAAATTTACCTAATACCCTCCTAAGGCTCTGTAGTGCTCTAATGATCCCTTCATTGGCAGTAAATGTTCAACAGTCCTCCCTTTATACTCTGTTAGCGATGACTGATCCCTCCCCTCCCCCTTTCCCATTGAAAACTACGTGATCCTCCCAGTATTATAATGACCGGTCGCCTAGCATATATTACTAATCAGTATAATATTACTATACTTGGCCTCTTATGGCTCTTTTAGCTATGATGGATTGGGATCTAAGAGGTGGCCATTCGCGTCACCTTTTTTGATTTGCCTACGCGAGAAATGAATAGTCTCGCAAAACCCAGATTAAATTGGCAATTTACTCCGATATAGGTGACGGTGTTGGTAACTTCACCTTTGAAATGAATATGTTTGAAGATTCGAAGTACAACATAGAGGTCAAGCAGTACCCCTTGGTCGTGTATCCTGGCCAACCGATGTACTTGCAGGTCAATGTCCAAGCTCTTGATCGAAACCTTTTAACTTTCTTGGAAGAATGCTGGGTCACACCATCGACAGATCCTCGTGACAAAACCAGGCATACGATAATCCAACACGGGTATGTGTTTTGCTTGTAGACCTGAGAAATAATAAGAAAACAATACGAGTAAACTAATTTAATCGAGAACGGAGGATTTTTATTGTATCGTAGTTTTTATGGAAAATGAGCTAGTAAAAATCTTATAATGGATAAAGTCAAGATCTAATGTCCTATCCCCGAAAGGGAAATAACATGTAGAAATGGGAAAAACTAGATGGAAAAAAATCAGCGAGAACGTTTGGTAATGTCTCTACAGACCCTATGAAAATATCAAGCTAAACACAGTTCACTTTAGATATTCTGTCAACTTTTATTTTCAATTTCAGCTGTTCCCGTGATTCCACATTGCAGTACGATTACAAAAAATCTCCTATGCAAAATTTCACCTTCAAAGCATTTCAATTCCGCGAAGTCCCCTCTGAGAGACTTTACGTGCATTGTCAAGTGGTGACTTGTAGAGAGTCGGACACAGGTTCGGTCTGTGATAGAGGATGCATAAAGAACGGAAGACGTAGGAGAGAAAACAGAGCTTTCATCATGGACAAAGAGGTGTTTTTATCATTGGGGCCTGTTAGTCGTCAGGAACAAGACAAAGGTGAGTATAGGGGTAGTAGTTTACATGACACCATGGAGCCATAAGGTAGCTTGCATGGTCTTGTCCCATTTCAAGAGCATTTTTGATGATCCTGTTGAGCCTTTCATAGCCATCCGCCAGTTATAGGCTAAACAGATTGATTTTTTTAGTTACTCCAAACCCCCCCCCCGTAGCCTGCAAAGCTGTCGGATTTCTGTGGGCCTGCCTTAAGGTGTTAGGCGGGGATACCTAAAGGGGTTCTTAACGGTAGACAAAAAAATACTTTCCTAAACCGCTTCCATCGTCTTTCAATTTCAAGCCTTTCATCGCTGATTAAATTCCCTTCCCTTTTCTTTTCAAATCAACAGCGTCAGAGCACCACGATCTCCTCGTTTATGTTAAGGCCCTGGCTTGGATTTTTGGAACTTTAGCCGTAATTCTTGCTACTGCAATGATAATTTTGATCCTTAAAAGAAGAAAGCGTAACGAAGACAAAAACAACGCCCAGATCCTATTTGCTCTCAGAAAGAACGGTGCACAGGAAGGAGAGGAAAAGCGCGCACTCAGAACACCCCAACAGGATACAGGAACTTGAATTTGAAACTACTTAAGATGATTAACAATTTTTTATGACCAAGGTCGTATTTAAAAGCTCAAAATTTAGACCAGAGCCGCGGTTTTTTCCCGAAAAGGATGAAACTGGACGTTGCATTGTTTTGAGCTCAGAGGATCAGAGAGACAAAGCTTTTAAAGCTTTCGTCACATATCGGTCGGGTTAGCAGACTTTTCGTTGGCAATCAATTTATTTAGTGTTTCAGAGTTAAAAACCTTTTTATTCAAGATGAACGAATTCGGCATTTAAACAAAAAGCTTGTAAAATTGTAGTAAGTATCAGCTAATTTAGTTCTAATCTTTTAAGGAATAGAATGACTTTAAACGAAGACTCAATAATAGTCTCATACAGTCTTACAAAATGATGCAATACCCATTAGGTCGTCAAGTTGTGAATAAAACTTTATAGATCGTAAACAAGCAATAATCTATCGCTTCCTTAGATCTTTATTCTGAATACACGATGACGACTGACCTGCGTGGAGTGCATTCTGATCAGAAATTATGTGTGATTTGAAATCACAAGTATGATTTCAGACCCATATATCACGACGTGAAGTTAAAAAGCCACTTTACCTCTTCCAATATCCAATCTCTCTAATAAAGGATTTTTAGTGTTTTTTATTGATTCAGCACTGAGCTGGTGTGTAAAAAGTTACCAAGGTCGTCTTTCGTTTTTCTACAATCTGATTGGTTTCTTTAATCAAGCCTTCAAATCTGATTGGTTGATGCGTTTAAGTAAAACTTTCCCATTGGCTGGAAAAAGATGCGATTTGGAGCAAAAAGCTGTGTGATTCCGAATTTATCGAACTGATGGCGCATTTTCGCAAATTTGACAAAAAATATCCTGCTGTACCCTGCCCGTTAGTCACTAAAAGTTACTGAACCTACTGCTGAATATTTCTCCACACTTTTAATGCTGACATTTGCGAGAAAGAACTGCCAAGAAATTGGTCAAAAGTAATCACCGTGAAAATTCCTAAGAAGATAACCTAAGAAACTAAAGTACTTTGGGAGAGGTCTTAAAATTCTTCAGTTTTCTGCATGGCATGGCGATTGGGACGAGAATGAGCCAAATATTTTTTTTCCACAGCGAGAAAAACTCTAACAAATCATAACTCATGGTCAATGTATTTTGAAAGTTCATTAATTTTATTCCACAGGCGATCGAATTGTATATACGAATCATGATGAAGGAAAATTTCATATCATTTTAATTATTATTTTCAGTGGATGATCCACTTCTCAAATTCATCTGTTATCGATCGCCTACTATATTATAATTGGTAGCAATGATAACTAAGTCTAGTACATTACGGTAAAATCTAACCGAGCTCTGCTCTGTTATAAAGCACTTAGGAAGCGGCTAGAGCACGAAAGAAGTGTAGGGAGAAACACGAGACGTAGTCGAGTGTTTCTCCCCACTTCTTGAGTGCTCTAGCCGCTTCCTAAGTGCTTTATAACAGAACAGAGCACAGTCAAGCCTTCTCTATTTGTTTTATAATAAAGAATCCGTCAAATTCCCCATGCATTACTTTCAATTTTCAAAACAAACTTTATTTCCAAAGCGAACTACAATGTCGTCAGCATGCTCTATACTCTCATAGAGCACGCTACAATAAGCCAATCAGAATCCCTGTTAGAATGGTTCAAATAATCTGATTGGCTCTACAAAACAAAAGCTGTCAAAAGTGTCAAACCATCAAAGTTCAAATACCATCAAAGTTCACAATCTGCGATAGTTTACAAAGTAAAATAGTTCGGCAAGTCGATTTTAACGCTTTTGCCTGAAGTTTTTCATACAGAATCTTGAAGTGAAATGTTCAGTGAACTTCAGCCGAATTATGCCTCATGAAAAACACGCGAGTTTTTTCACATGACAAGGTAGAAAACAAACTGTTTAAGGCGAGTATTTTTTAAATGAACGACAGCCGAATTCACCGAACATGAAGATCGCTCGGGATGACAGCGCCGCAAAACTCGGCTGCAGTGACTGAAGTGACTTTCTGCTAAACGTATCGGAAAGGATATCAGAGCAAGCTCTTATTTTTTCACTCGAAGGCCGGCCGATGTAGTTTCTGAGGCTTGCTTTACTGTAATGACCGGAGATCGCTATACTAAGCGAGCCGCAATGGACTTCAGCATGATCATATTTGCTCGGACACCGTCATGATTAGTATGAATTTTGACAGTTATGTCAGTTTGATTATATTTTTCATAATTTCTGTCTTGTTTTGTTTTGTTTTTGAACTCTGAACTTTATATACTATACGAGTGTTAGCTGTGTTTGATTTTTATTACCGTACGTAAGCCTGAGCGTGAAAATCTTTAAAACTCGCAATGTCTATTTTGTTTTTCCTTTGAGGATTTTTGTATCTGCTCACGTTTTAATAATGTAAATTACGGCGCCTGATATGTTTACAAACCTTTGTTTGGTTCATCTGTTGCTACTTGTCGGCTCGCTTTAGTTCCGAAATTTCACTTTCAATTATCGGAAAAAAGCTAAAAAGAAAAAGCTCGAACATAGTACAGTTTGGCAGATGGCGTGACAGTTTTAACTCAGTTCTATGCTCTATACTCTCATAGAGCACGCTCTTTCAACCAATGACAGCGCGCGTTATATCCGAACTTTATTATAAACTACTTTATTAAACAGCGAGTAATGTTCTTAACAAGGATTGACTCCTTAAAGCAGTACATTACTTGTCGTTAATAAACTTAATCAAGCCCACTACAGTCTACATCCTAGCTCACCACTGACACAATCTCATTGCTGTCTCCAAAGTTCCTTGAAGTGAGCTATCTTCCGCTTGAGCTAGCTTTCAAAACAGGCGTCGCTCCAACAACAACAACAACAACCACTGCTACTGCTACATAAGTGAGTCTTTATATATATTCGCAAAGTGTTCTGGAACATTCCAGAAGCTTACATAAGAACTATTTTAGTAGTATTACATAATAAATGCGTGACTTGATGAAATGTTCTGGATAGTTTTATGGCATGCAAGTCAGCATGACTAAGAAGTCTGGAAATCTCTCGAAGCTTATATTTACAACAATTACTCATAACAAATAAATTATTATTTACAGAACGGATCCTAAGCGAATAAAAGAGACTTCACACTGTTAGAAACGGCAGTAACTACATGTTAAAAATTTCTGTAAGACCTCACGCAGGGGGGACTCGGACGACCGCCTCAGTTGTAGTCAGGCATCAAATAAGTCGGTAGTCCGTTTTCCATTTACTTTAAAGAAAATCAGAACCAAATATCTTACGTAAACTACGTCACTCACAATTAAGAGATCACTAGTAAATATCAATCGTGTTGAGTGCTTTTTTTAAAATCTTGCCGACAGAACTGACCATTTTGAAGCGTAGAAAGTAGAGCTCATACTATGTTAAAAAAGTGAAAATCTTTTGGCATTTGGGACATTCAAGTCATTGTGCTTTTTATTTGATGTGGTATGGTTCCCGTGACTAAAGTGAACTTTTGTGGCATAATCAAGATGCTATTTCTCTGAGCGTGGACGTTCTTTTGGTACCAGTGGTGCCTCGCTAGTGGATACGAGCTGGCACGTGGATGCCCTTCACAGACGCAGAAAGACGACGGTATCTATGCCAGTTCTTTCTAAGAATTAATATTCAGTATTATGACATGTAAACCAGCGGCCCAGCAGGAAATCGGAAATTGTCTCATCTTTACTCTAAGAGCCACTTTGACTGTTATAAACTAATTTTACTTTGGTGAGTTTCAAGGTAGTCTTGTATGTTGACATAATTCTGCAAAAGAGAGCAAAGAAGAAATTTATAATCAGAAGTGAAAGGAAAACTCGTCAAAAGCGTCTTTCCAAGACCTTTTCACTGCTGATAGGACATGCCCGCAATAGGAAACAACTAACTTCACAAGAAACTGCGACACTGATTTGTCGCCAGGAAGGGTGTGTCCCAAATTTTGCAGTTTTGTATGCAAGTATCCCGTAACTCGTATTCCTGAACACGAAAAATGACTTTACCACTCGTCGATCACTTGCAAGATCATAATCCTGGGCTCTGATTTAAAAGATAGTTACTCAAGCGGACCTGTAATACGAATAACATTTGTCACAAGAATTCAAACCTGATTAGCCTTCAGTAATCCTCTGATGGAAGAGCGCAATGACTCAAATGACGGTCTTATTTCAGGGTCCGTTTCCCAACAATTCAGCATGATATTATATCTGAAGAATTCCAGTATTTTCCATGGTTAGCACTCACAGAATACAACATTACCAACGGTAATAAAATTTTAAAATCAACAGGATGTCGATTTACTTTCCGCGCATTGCCCTGACTGCACCTTATCCCTTTCACACGGCAGATATAAATGGATCAATAACTACATAACAGCTAGAGAGTAGGCCGAGGGTAAACTCCGACTTCTGCACTGCATTTGGTTTAGTTTCTTTAAAGTTTTCTCCTTTAACTTTAGGTTGCGAAAGTTGTAGCTTCAGCTCTGGGTTTTTCAGAGTTCAGTTGGATTGCGATACAATGCATTAGGGGTTAACTTAGAGTACCTTATGAAAGAACTTTTACCACTATGACATTGATAATAACTGTAAAGGGGTTAGAAATTACTTACAACTCATCCTTAAAATAATCAGGTTTAGGAATTCTATACCCCTCTTGTAATACTCTTGGAATGTCATACGGACTTATTCCTGGATAAGGTTCAGCGCCTAAAGTGTGTAAGAATTTAAGATGACACTCACAATAATATAATGACCAAAGAGTCTCTTAACTTTACTTAATAACTTTCCTCGAGTGATGGAGGAACAAATTACGAGTCCCTGTTTTGGGTGAGAAACACTCAAATTGATAGAAAACAGCATTATCAAAAAATACTATCATCATTGAGAAAGCAAGCAATAGCGATTGAATATATGCACTTTGTTTTAGAGACACTTATCTCTTATTCCTGGTCTGTTAAGAATACTAACTTCTTACGATTTTCTCTACTTCCGACTGGAATCTGAAAGTAAATGCACTATCCTAAATAGTTTCATCAGTGCCTGTCACGGAAGATCAGCGGTATTCGTATATTCTATGCATTCTTAAACCTTTGTCCAAAGCACTGTGGGTGCAGTATGCAAGACCTACCAATGGTGCAAATCTCGTATAGAACGATTCCAAAACTCCATCTACAAATTCGAGAGTAAAAAAACGTTTAATATTTTCTGTCTTAAGATTTAAGATCCCCTCGCCTTATTCTAGCTAAATTGAGCCGTCAGATTTTTCGATTTTACTTTTTCTTTTTTTTTCTTTAAAAGAGGAGTTACGCGTTTCAAGTTTGCAGTTTTATTTATCTCAACTTACACGTCACTTTTCGTTGAGTACTCCATCCTTCCAGACATTGCTTCAATTGCTGTCCATTTAACAGGAATTCGGCCCTGTATTGATAGAAGTTTGCGAGGAGAAGCCTTCATTTTCTGAGGATACATTCAATTTTCGGTGATCCCCTTTTGGAATAGCAGGGCCATTTAGTGTTTTCTTCTTCTTTCCTTTTCTCTTTTTCTTCTTCTTTCTTTTTCTCTCTTCCTTTCCTTTTCTCTTATTTTTTTACCTTTCTTTTTTTCATAATGATCGAATCTCAAATTTCGCTAGTTTCTAAGACATCGAAGGACTCTAGCACATCCATCTCGATCCGTCGGTTATAAAGTAAATTATTCAATAAATCATAAATATAGAGGAAGAGAGTGAAAGGCAAACGTATGATCTGCAGACCGGGGTGTGCTTACATCTCTCATCACTTCATCTTTATCTAAGTTCACACGGTCATTATATTCAAAATATGAGTCAAGGTGGATGTCCTTTCATTATTGAAACAGTTTGGGTAGGATAAAAACTGAGAAATGAAGCTACCTGATTACGTGGTACATAAATATCTTTCATATCAGCATCGCGAGCCATTCCAAAATCTGTAATCTTGCATCTGAGGTTATCACCAACTAATACATTCCTTGCTGCTAGGTCTCGGTGGATGATCTATTGAAAGAAAACAAAAACAAAAACAAAACTAAACAAACAAAAGAGGTTATGAATTGAGGATACAAGGGGATGTTGTCATAAATAATTCTCAATTGAAAACACACACCCTTTTAGATGAGATATACTGCATGCCGTCAGCTATCTGCCAGGCGAACGTTATGATCTGCTCTGAAGTTAGGTTCGTCGTTGGTTTTATCTCGGGATATTCGTAGTAACAGTCGTGCAACCCTCGACTTCTCCGAAGATAACCGAGAAGATCTCCATAAGGTACATACTCAATGATTACATATGGGGTTTCTATAGAATGATAAAACTTCTTTCAAAATATACATTTGCAAAGCATATTCAGAGACAAAGGTTATCTGAAAAGAAAGATTTTGTTTAGACAATGTTTGATCTTTCAAGGTTGAATCGTACAGTGAGTAAACTGTTCGGCGCAAATGAGATACATGGTTGACTACGAAATGATCATATGATCGTAACAAGCGATCAGGAAAAACTCACTTTTTCAAACTTTTTAAGGGCTTGCTTCTATATCAACGCATGGCTTTTTGAAGAGTAAAGATACATCTACAATTTGCTCCTAAATCAAAAGATTTTTAGGAAATAGACGCATTATCCTTTTGCTCTTAAAAATACTCAAAACTCGGTCATTTTAGTTTGAAAGTCACTTTTCCTGAGCGATTTTCTAAAAACCATCATTACCCACGAAAAATCAGTGCACGGCAAATGGCAAATCAATGGCCGATGGGAATCTTTATCCTTTTCAGTTCGAAAATTTTAATACTAACACTATTTACATAAATAACTTAGAAAACTAAAATTACTAATATTTACCACAATAATGGCACTGCTGATAGAAAAATGATTCATTTACAATGCAAAACAAACATTTGAAGAAAAAAAACGAAAATTGTTTTACGGGCAAACATTTTTAAATTTACTATACTTCATGCATTATTTATATGCCTACGTGAGTGGAAGGAGTAATCAATAGGGTAATCAGTAAATATCCTTAAATTTGTGTAAAAATAGAAACATTTAACTGCATGAGTGATTGACGTGATCAATTATACATGTAATTACCTTTTTCTTCTGTGATGCAACCCAAAAGTTTTATTACATGTGGATGAGGTTTCAGCCTCTTTAAAAGGTTTAATTCAGACAACAGATCTTCTCTTTCACTTTCCTTCGCATCCTCTGTTGATAAAAAGAAATAAGGAACCCTTTTTGGCTAAAGGAAATTACAGGGCACGGAGATGAAGTTGAACCCTGCAGTGGAGGCCTTAGGCCAGGTACTGAATTGCCTTAGCTTGTCGCAGATAAAGGGAAAACTCTGTTTCTTTCCTTTATTCTTTCTTTCTTTTATTCTTTCTTTCTTTCTGGCCTCTGTGTTATAAGGATTATTTATCTATTCTAATGGTATTAATGGCTCAAATGTGATTTTTTTCACATAATTTGGATCATTTTTCCCCAGAGATATGAATCGAAGAGCCTGCTTAAATTTTCGTCCACGTCCCTCCACTAATCTTGTAGCTTCGTATTAGGTAGAAGCGTCCAATTATTAACTGGAAGTAGGACTTCAAATCCCGTCAAAAAATGAACTCTTTCGGGCTTATCTTTGAAATTTCTTTAATTCCGTTTCATTTGCAGGGAACTTTCCTCTTAAAGTTCCTCATCTTTAGATGAACTATGATTTGTTTTATGCAATTTAGACAACTCAGTTTTTTTGATCGATCCTTGTGATTTACATCATTACTCGTAAAGTGTTACCCTGCAAGCTTTTTACTGCCACAACTGTCCATTCTGAGTAGCCCTGCAGATATCGAGCGTAGGCTTTGGAGACCACTCCAAACGCACCGTGGCCAACTACTCTATCAATCTCCAAGTCTTCCTTCCGAAACTCCCAGGACGGAACCGGATCCATCGGCACTCTATTGGAAAAAGTAGAGAAATTATGACAAAGGAAACTAGTACCCCATTCACACCAGCAAAACACGTTTAGTTAAACCGTGTTTAACTGAAGGAAAATCAGAACCAATAGGCTACATTTGAAATTGACAAACAATTGTCTAAGCAGCTTCTATGAAGAAAAAAAATTAAACCGTGTTAAACAAAGGAGCTTTAAAACATGTGTAAGCTTTGGGGTGAACGGGCTATAACTTAATGATAATGAAAGAATTAAAGCTTTATTCATTTGTCGTAATTCTTATACTAACGGTAGAGGGCATGATTTCTGAGAAGGAATGCCCTCGGGAATTCGGAGCATACAGGGAAAAGGAACTATTTAAGGTTGATACTGTAACTTGACGTTGTAATATAATCATTGGTTACTTAGTGATCTATCAGCTTTTACACACAACTTGATTAGAAACCACTAGACACTTACGTTTCAGCTTCTACCCGCTGGTATTGCATTACTGTTCCATTCTCGTTTGCTGAGATTTCTTTCAATAAGAGCAAGAGAAAGTATAATTATCAAATAAATAGCATTGTAGAGATCCAGTCAGATAATAGAGATCTCCAGCAATTCCAAAATGAGTGTAATAAACATCCTGATGTACTGGGCAACATGGAAACCACGAGGAGTAAATCAAAAGGAAAAAGGGAAAGTTGAAAATCTTAACTACTCACGTAAGAAAAAGTTACTCACTATTCACTCCAGTTCTCCTTCGGAGCTTGGAAGTCACAGCCCAAAGAAATGCAGGAATGGCAAGGACTGACAAGTAAGGTAAGTACTCAACCCCTAATTCCCACTTTGACTTCGCGGAGCCGGCTTTCCCTATAGAAAAATTAGGTAAAACAAATACATGCAACAGGAAACGAAATTGAGCGTATAATCAAAATTTTTCAATACACTGCTCTTTAAATGCACTCGATTTCTTCAGATTTCTGTGGTGAAGGTAGTGAGAACTAGGACTTCGTTCCGGCACCGATTCACTCTAAATACGATAAAATTCCCGCAAAGTAATGAAAGGTGCTCTTTGCACAGCGAAGACGTTGAGAGAGAACAGATTGCCTTTTTTTGATGTGATTCTTGCCTCCAATTATCAAATCAATAGTGGTTTAGAGTGGTCTGTACCCTTATCGACAACGATAATGGTCATCACACTGATCAAAATGTTGTGGACCAACGAGGCACAGCCACGCCAAACCACCGTCGGCATTGCGTCACACATTGACGCGAGCAGCGTTGTCTCTACTCTTATCGAGAACTGTGGGTAAAATGAATTTCCGCGCGAAGTGGACGTTTTAAAGTTTGTGGAAATGAATGTTTATACTGTATTTATATTTCTTCATATTGGAATAGTTTACCGAGCGTAATTTTCTGAAAATTTATTCTGTCGGGTATTTGCATTGAGCTTTTGCGGAATTTTAGGGGGGAACACATCTTCGACGCTAACAATATCACATATTAAGAGACGATACAAGAAAGCATACCATTTGACACCAAAATGTTTGAATTCGAAGTTGTTACACTTCGCGCTGTTGCATTTTCCAGGACACCTGCATGGCAAACAATTAGCGCAATATAGTTTGGTGTCATACTAATAATATTTAATAGAGATATAAATAGAAATTGGCCACCGCAGATTATCTCAAGTTAATCCAAGATTTTTCCTAGCTGACGCAATATATCATGTCATATTTGTGACTGAAAATGATTACAAAGTGACGTTCAGAGAACTTCAAGCCCATATATAAACAGTTTTTGTTCTCTACTTTTACTTTAACCATTATCCTATCCGTAAATTGATCATTTAGCAAGTACGAGAACATACCTATATTTTGTTGTGTATTCATACCTTCCAAAGGATTTAGAGAGGATAATTCTAAATGCTCGCAATTTTGATTGACAAAGATGAAATAAACCGTGAAGTAACCAATAAAATTAACGACATCGAAAAATAAGTTGTTTTTATGCAGTACAACCCCGCTTACTCGAACAGGGGTTAACTCGAATTTCCAGTAACTCGAACAAAATGCGATTCCCCTCGACCTCATTTTTGCAGTCATTTACTATCAGCTGGCTCAAACCTCCGCTTATTCGAGCCACTTTTTTTTCTCCAGAGTCAGCGAGGTTCTAATGTTGTCTCATGTATGTATAGCATAAAACAGTAGGGGAAAAACAGGAACGAACAAAACCTACAGAACAAAAAAATTAACACAACAAATAAGTTTTTCGAGCACTTACTCTTAGGGGAAGCAGTTGCTCCTGAAATTGAAAAAAAAAAGAAAAAACTCAGTGAAATAGTATTTCTGCGCAAAGTATTGGCAACTGCGCATAAGAACGTGTTTTACAATTAAATTCGATAAGCAAAGATAGTCAAAAGTCAAGAGTGTACCTTTGAGAACTGTGACCCTTGCTGCTGTTCTAGGATCAAAAGAGCTCTGACCCTTCTTATTCCAAGCTGTTACCATAATCTCGTATGTCAAGCAGCAATTCAGTCTAACTGAGTATCTGTTTTGTGTAACATTCACTTTAGACCATTTTTCCCGAAGTAATGGGCGATACCACACGGTAAACATCGTTATATTGGCTCCATTATTGTCTTTAGGGTATTCCCAGGTGCATAAAAACCTCGTGTCATTGATGTCAATGTCGTGGAAAGGAAGTTTTACTACAGCTGGAGGTCCTGCAAAAAAAAGAGACACAAATGAAGACAAAAATTTTTTTTTGTCAACTGAGTTGACAAAATCTTTCATTGGAGCGAATAGAGGAATCACGGGTTTTGTTTGGTTTTCAGGTAAGCTATTGCTGAAAAAATGGTAACATGAAAAACACGAGAAAAATTAGTTGAATGAAAGGCGTTCGGAGAAGCCCATATTGGGCTCGTGGCGTTCGTTGATACCGTGGGGATTGAAAGTGCAGATGTAAAGGATAAGTTTTTGTTCTATAGTTTTACGGTTAAAGTTTGATCCGAATTGCTATGAAAGACATCACTGTTTTGAATGCCCGGAAAATAGACGAAAACA